TAAAAGGCTTGCAATATTTCAGTTGATTTGTAATGAATCCAGAATGTATGACATTTTTGTTTTTTTAATTGCATTACAGAAAATAAAGAACTTTATCACAATATTCTAATTTTCTGAGACAGTCCTGTAAATGTGTGTCCCCGTTGTGTCGGGGAACTCACGCAACGTCAGAAAATAAAACCCTCTCTCTTTTCCTCCGTACCCAAATCTCTAAAAATGGGGGTACAACGGAGCTGATCCAGATTTGCGTCCGATATGACGTAATATCTGAAATGTGGACCCACGGCAAAATCAGAAAGTTGCTATCAGAAACAATGCCCGACTGTTTTGGATGTAACATGGTCGGTGTTTACATTAGCATCGCTAACACTCAGAGCTAACCTGTACTGGAGAGCATGTGTGTGAAGAAGCAGGAAATAAAAAGGAACTCACCTTGTGGTATAACCGGCAAGAGAGAAAGCCTTTGAGCTCCATACTGTTTCAGAAATAATCCTTGATAATCCACGATATGGCGTTTCATCACCGCAGTATTTAGTTTAGACGGTAGCTGCCGGGTCCCGGGTGAGCTCAGCCCCCTCCTTTTTTTTTAATCAATTAAACAAAAAAAACCTTTATACCCAAAATCAGCATTTTTGAAACAGGAAGTGAAATAGAGGGATATGAGGCATGGCTAGAATGGGTGATCTGTTTGGTATTTTGAGCAAAACACTTCATAGACATGTTTTTTATATCTTTTTATATATCTGAGACCTATGCTATTGCCTAAAAATAGCACGATAGGTGACCTTTAATGAAAGATCTGATATTATCTAGCATGTGATGTTCTTTTTCATATCTTACTTACTCTTACCTATTCCCTTTTCTTTGTTTTTCTCAGTTCCTTAGTTGGTCCCATCCAGACTGAATGGAGTTCTCTTCTTACATGGTTGCAATGCAGATTACTTTTTAGAGACTTCAGCTGTAAAAAGCTTACCATTAACACACTTCTGTTCATCAAGCCCCATCAAGGTAAGCATATTCCGTCATTTTTTATTGAAAAGAATGCAAACTAAATGTCTGGAGCTTAGTGTGTTTATGAGAGTTGCCGAAGCTAAACTTGGAGCTGTCGCAGTAGCAAATATTATTTGATGTAGGTAGATTATTGATGCCAATGTTTAATGTTCCATGTTAAAAGCCAGACATTTTCTCAACATCACTTAAGCTGTACATTTTTTTTAAATACATTTTCCATTACCATTACTTGTATTGTCATTGATCCAAAAGCTCTTTATTGACCTTTTGATTTTTTTAAAACTCAACAAATTAATGTTTTTTTTTTTCTGCAGCACCAAATGTTTCCCTGAGAGTCTCTCGTCACTTCACTGAGTGGGCATAATGTTGACCCTGATCTAAACCCATCAGCAACCCATCCCTACCTCCCCCCCCACTCCCTTTCCCACCTCCACCATGACCAGTCTGAAGCGTTCTCAGACAGAGCGCTCGGTCGGGGGCTCAGTGCCAGCGTCTGATGAGTTCTACACCCGCCGCCTGAGACTGCCCAATGGAGGGGCCCCGCCCCCCCGCAGTGAGAGCGCCCACATCTCCTCTTCCTCCACTACCGGCACCAACCCGGCCGTACCGAAAATGGGGGTTCGGGCTCGTGTGGCTGATTGGCCGCCAAGAAAAGACGGGGGAGGAGGCGGTCTTTGGCACATAACGGTGGAAACAGACTCACCCAGCTCCACCAACACCACAAGCTCTTCAGGTTCAGGAAGTGGAGATAGAGAAAGACTTGTAGGAGGAGGAGGAGGAGGGGGAGGAGGAGAAAGGTGGTGGTGGGGGAGGAGGAGGAAGAGGAAGTAGTGGGAGCGGTAGTGGTAGTGGTAGTGGTGGCAGTGGCAGTGGCAGTGGAGAAAGAGGGGGATCCGCAGTAACAGCCCACAGCCATCTGTCAGCCAAGCTGGGCCACCTGATAAGCCCGCAGGACTCATCCATGCTGCGCAACATCCACAACACCCTGAAGAACAAGATGCACAGCAAGGGGAAGGACAACCGCTTCCTGTCACCGGATGGATACCTGGGGTCTCCTCGCAAAGGCATGAGGCGCATCCGTCAGCGCAGTAACAGCGACATCACCATCAGCGAGCTGGATGTGGACGGCAACGAGGGCTGGTCCTTCTCCGGGTGGACCCCCATGCACCGAGAGTATGGCAGCACTTCGTCTATAGATAAACACGGGGTGTCAGGGGAGAGCTTCTTTGACATGCTCAAGGGATACCAGTCCTTCGAGGCCCCTGATCAGAGAAGCCCAGCCCCAGAGAAGCTATCAGAGCTGCTTACCGTGGCCCCAACGAAACAGGCGGTCCTGGACCTGCCTGATGGTGCTTTAAGTTCAGCAAGAGGCAGTCCTGCCAGTCGGTTGAAGGAGCGAGAGAAGCACTTAAAGAGGAGGTCAAAGTCGGAGACAGGTGGAGAATCAATATTCCGTAAACTGCGCAGCGTGAAGGTGGAGGGGGACTCGTCTCGGGCTGGATCAGATGCTGAAGATGGGGGCAAAGCAGATGAGAGCAGCCCACCTCCCAAACCTTGGGCGTGCCAAAAAGGCTTTGCCCATTTTGATATCCAGTCTTTACTTTTTGACCTCAATGAGGCAATCCACAGCAGGCAGTCTGGGTCCAAGCGTAAGAACACTACTACCGGTGCCTCGGCTGCTGCTGCTGCCTCCGCTTCAGCCACATCCTCCCTCTCGTCCAATCAGAGCGGAATATATGGTTCACCATGTGGCTCACAAGAGGAGCTGAGCAAGGAGGGGGCCGGAGGACACGGCACCAACCCTGCCTTGGACCCCGGGGACGACAAGACCAATGACCTGGTGCTCAGCTGCCCTTGTTTCAGAAATGAGATTGGTGGAGAGGGAGAGAGGAACATCTCTTCTGCTAAACAGGTAGGTTTTGTCCCAGAACAGATAATAAGACTTCAATTAAGAAAAATAACCCTTGTTATAACAACTGCTGTGTTACGTTCTAAGATTGGAAAACCTTGATATATTTTGATGTTCTCAAAACGTAACACAGCAGTTTGAAATATTAAAGGTCACCTATTATGAAAAAAAAACACTTGTTCATGTCTTTTATACATAAACATGTGTCCCCTCTGTGTAAAGAGATTCTGAAAGTTTCAGGAAAAAAGATTCTCTCACTCTGAAAATGAGCTGATCAGATTTTGGCCACTTTATGATGTCATAACGATTTTTTGGCTTGTGTAACCATTAGCCAATCACCGACCAAGGTAACCCCCCCCCCTTTTCACCTGAATCTCCTCCTAGAGCACCATTGTGTTCTTTTTAACCAAATATCTCTCAGAGGGGCGTGGGGAGGGGCTCCTTATTTTCATCTAAAGTAACAGACAGAGAATCGGCACTTTTGAAACAGGGCTGAAACAGAGGGGATTATGGGTAATGCTGCAATGATCTGTTTGGTGTTTGGAGCCAAACCCTTCAGAGACATGTTTTGTATATATCTGTGACCTGTGATATATTGATGAAAAACATTTTAATAGGGGACCTTTAATTCCTGAACCTTCTGGCTACAAACCAAAATAAAAAATCACCCTGAAGATTAAATGTAAACAAAGTGTTACACAATGGCTATGCTTTACCTTTCCTGGTCTTCCGTCCCCCAGCCGGGCAGCATAGGTAGTGGTGAGACCTCGAGCAGTTCTTCAGTCAGTACAGAGGAAGGACCCTTGGATGCCACCCTAACTACTCACTTTACCAACGCTGGTGTGGCTGTGTTGGAGGCTGGCAAGGACGGGCCAGGCCAACATGCTGACAGGTCCAAACGTTACATCGTGGAACATGTTGACCTCGGCACCTATTACTACCGAAAGTTCTTCTACCTCAGAGGTGAGCGTAAAGGGGATAGTTAGGGCTTTTCTAAATTCATAGTTCTTGATATAGTTTGGTGTGGAAGCTGCCTTTCTTAAATGCTGTTGACTGTATGATGTATATTTCTTAACATTTGATAACAGAAGCTCATTGGCAGAGAAAATGCCAACTTCTGCTACCAGCCAAGATTCAACCTTAGACGACAATTGGCACAATATTCAGTATTCATGCAAATGCAGCATCTTGTATTTCGCTAGGAGTTAGAAAAAAGCTGGGGAACAGCGGAGGATCATTAGTAAAGTTATTCTTTTAATGCTTTGGTATTTTTGTTTCTGGTTTTCCCTCCTTCCTACATTAGAATTGACCTTTTAAAATATGCACGGTAACAAAATCGTCGTCTAATTTCACAAGTTCTCTGTGTATTCTCTTTCACACAATCCCTTTCTCTCCATCCATTACTCAAATCCCTTCCCTCCACCAGAACACTGGAACTATCTGGGGGTGGATGAGAACCTGGGCCCGGTCGCAGTGAGTCTGAGGAGGGAGAAGTTGGACGAACACAAGGACCACGGCCAGCAATACAACTACAGGGTCATCTTCAGAATGAGCGAGGTACATTGAAAAGGCCAAATGATTTACACTCTTTTATAATCTGTGTGTTTTGCTTGATTGTTTTGTAATTGATCTTCCCATTCATCAGGATACAATCTATTTGTAGCTGTTCCCTCCGGAGCCATGAATGTTCACAAACGTGTCAATATTCAGCACACTCTGTACTGAGGGATGCTACTGGGAAGCGCTGAGATGTGTAGGAGTAATCAATGATCGATGCCCAGCCTTGCTTATTGAAAAACCCAGTCAGAGTGTGACATTATAAAAGCTTCGGCTCAAGGTTGTCGGATATGGCTCAAGACCTTAGATGCCTCCGCCTCCATTCCTTAACCTCAACTAATAGCATGTTTTATCCCATTTATAACACATATTCTCAATTCTTTATGCTCAAACTGCAGTGATTGGAGCTTGTGTATAAATTCCCCTCCTATAGAGACTAGAGCCACAGATCCATGTCCTCATTCTCTCAGCTGAACACCCACCTACCATCTTTGTCAGCCTTCATCTGTGAAGGACTGAGCCGTGCCATTTCACAGCTAAACGAGACTAAAATAGTGCCAAAGAGATTTGAGTAGAGAGGGGGAAAGCATTGCTCTCGTACTGAAGAGCACCATGAGTAATAGCCCTTTCCGATCTCTTGGGATGACGCACGACCTACTGTGCTGTGTGTTCCTCTCTTTTCCTTCCCTTCTCCCTCTATGCTCTCTAATTGCTATTTTCAGAATGGGGAGGTGGGCAGGTAAAGACATATGTGTGTGTGGGAGTGAGTGGGATGCACTGAGATAAGTCCAGTGTCCACAGAGGACAGCTGTTGTCCTCTCCTCAGTAAGAGTACTTCTCTCCAGTGTGTTTAAACCTGAGGCTGTTGGCACTGACCTTGAGCCGACAGAAGACACAAAACACATAAGTGATTCTTAAGAGCCATGGGACCACTAAGGATATCCAACTGTGTTTATTTGTTCATGATGGATTTTCTGGTCCTGGTCCTTCTGCAGTCCTCTTGATTTATTCATGGTTGTCCTCTTCCAGTTTGTTTTAGCCTCGAGCCCAAGAGTGCTTATAGTTGAAACAGTAGCAGGAAAAACCCTATAAGCATTATTATTTGTGTGCTTGCTTAGACAGTTCCCCACACTTTGTTTTCCCTGCACAAGCAGAAAACATGTTCAACTTTTAGCCTGGATTTTGAAATAAATAAATATTGATTTAATGAGTTATCTTAAGCCCATGATGCATTCTTTTTAAATAGCCCTCTTCTGCTGTGAATTGTATTTAACTGCAGATACCTTTAGGTCTTATCACAGGCCTACTTTTAGCTTTCCCCAACGTAGACTAACAAATTAGTGTTCTTCGAATGGCTGGAAATATATTTAGATTTTCTTGCCAACATACTAAACGGAGCAGAAAGAAACCAAACCAGACAAACATTTCGAGAACATACACAATAATTATCTAAGCTACAAACTTCAACTTAGCTAGGCTAAATCTGAATCATCTGTTATTGTGAAAAGCCATCTGTAGCACTGCAGTGTAATGTGCTCTTAAGATACAGTAGAGGCCAAGAGAAGAGTTTTAAAATGTTCTGGGCAAGGCAAGGCAAGTTTATTTATATAGCACTTTTCAACACAAGGCAATTCAAAGTGCTTTACAAAAAATGAAAGACATTAAGAAAATGGCATTTAAAATAATAGAAAAAAACATGTCGTTTTTTATACTGTACTGGATTAAGAAGAGGGAATAACTTTGTCATTAGTGTATTTTGGATCCAACCTGCTGTCATATCTCCAACAGCAAATGATTTAGTAGTACAGTTTGTAGTATCAGTGGGTTTTCACTGTGAAGCTTTTTGACTGATTTTGCTAGTTGACGATGCAGCCACATTTTATATTCTATCATTCACTGCATTCTATGTTGTTGTAAATTACTGCTTTATTTTATTGCTATCTATTACATTAATGCACAACATGTTCAAATAGTGTTCAAATATTGCTTACTGCACATATTTCATATTTTATAATCTATAATTCACTGCATTCTATTTCACTTTACATTTCCGCTTTATTTAAATTTTTATTGCTATCTATCTATATATATTTTTTTACAGTGTTCTTAATGTAGTTCGCTATCTGTGTACTTTTTAGATTTGATGTACAGTATGCACCATGACATCAAGTCAAATTCCTCGTACGTGTGAACCTACCTGGCAATAAACCCGTTTCTGATTCTGATAACTGCCATAAAGAAAACCCTAGCCCAAGATAATGGAGGTCACCAAAAAACATTCAAGCTCTAGAAGAATCAGAATTAAGAAAGAATTTGTTCAAACTCAATAATCTGATGTTTCCTATTTTTCTTGTTCTTCTCCCTCCCTTGCCATCTCCAGCTGAATACCCTGAGGGGCTCCATCCTGGAAGATGCAGTACCCTCCACGTCCAAACACGGTCTGGGCCGGGGTCTGCCCCTCAAAGAGGTGCTGGAGTACCTGGTGCCCGAGCTCAACGTCCACTGCCTGCGCCTCGCTCTCAACACGCCCAAAGTCACGGAGCAGCTGATGAAGCTGGACGAGCAGGGGGTAAGGACGCGAGTGACAACAATTATGATTTACTGGATGATTAATTCCTTTGATTGCTGATATATATGTTTGTATTACTGCTTTCTGTTTATTAAAAGTATTAGTCAGACTTCTTGTCATTCCTCAAAATGTTATCCATTCAGCATATTTGATAAATCTATGAACTAAAGATCTTTCCTTTTGTTTTTTTTATGAATCATTTCATGTGGTAGGTGTTATTTGTCCTAAAAGTGGATATTTCACCGTGAGGCAGAATTATTTATTTTCAATATTCTTTTTATACTTATGCTTAATTTATCCATTCACTCCCACAGACTACTTAGTGGGATTTAAGTGGAGACACTACCTCCCTTATTTGTCTACACCCACACACAAACTCACACACGCAACTTGACCATAAAAAGGTGAAAAATGCCAAACATCTCTTTAATACTCATGCTCCCTGACGCAATCATCAAAAGCTGAACCTCTGAAAATGTCAACATCATTTCTCTGGTAAATGGCACCGCGATCACCACATGACAACCCAAGGTGCTGATTCTTAAAATGCCAATATGAGTTCTCCCTTAAATGTCAACATGGTGACTCTGACATGAGTTCTGTACAGTAATATACAAGTTTCCCCTTCTCATTGCAACAATCTCTCCATAGTTGAGTTTCCAGCGGAAAGTGGGGCTGATGTACTGCATGGCCGGCCAGAGCAGCGAGGAGGAAATGTACAACAATGAGTCAGCTGGTCCTGCGCTGGAGGAGTTCCTTCATCTGCTGGGGGAGAGGGTCCGGCTCAAAGGCTTCAGCAAGTACCGGGCCCAGCTGGACGCCAAGAGTACGTACATGCACAGAAATAGAGACTCAAAGGTCCCCTGTTATACTGTTTTTCATCAATATATTATAGGTCTCAGATATATACTAACATGTCTCTGAAGTGTTTGGCTCCAAACACCAAACAGATAAATAACCAAACACCAAACAGATAATTGTAGCATTACCCATAATCCTCTCTGTTTCAGCCCTGTTTACAGTGTGCTGATTCTCTGTCTGTTACTTTAGATGAAAATAAGGAGCCCCTTCCCACGCCCCACTGAGAGAGATTTGGTTAAAAAGAACACAATGGTGCTCTCGGAGGAGATTCAGATGATACGGGGGGGGGGAGGGGGGGTTTACCTTGGTTGCTGATTGGCTAATGGTGACACAAGCAAAAAAATNAAACTCAAATATCCTATCTCTAAATATTAGAATATCATGAAAAAGTATACGTGTTTCGAGTTAATTAGACGATTCAAGTGATTCGTTGAACACCCTACTAGTATACTTTTTCATGATATTCTAATATTTAGAGATAGGATATTTGAGTTTTCTTAAGCTGTATGCCATAATCAGCAATATTAAAATAATAAAAGGCTTGCAATATTTCAGTTGATTTGTAATGAATCCAGAATGTATGACATTTTTGTTTTTTTAATTGTCATTACAGAAAATAAAGAACTTTATCACAATATTCTAATTTTCTGAGACAGTCCTGTATGTATGAAAGACATCAAAAAGTGCATTTTGCCTGATCGGTCCCCTTTAACTAAAATACATTACTCCAATAAGCCCTTCATGGTCAAAACACAGAAAATCAGGCAAAACCAACAAACAAAAAAATGAGGCTATATTTGCAAGTCATGTTATGTAAGAGCTAGGCGGGTCTAATGAGAAACCATCTAATTTGACTGAATGATGATATTTGGACCACTTTTAGCCAATGATTGATCTAGCAGGTACATTTTTCTAAAACGTTAAGTGCAATTTTACACTACAAGATTAATTTACTAGTAATGCCGAGTATCACACAGCCTGAGAAAATGAAGAAAGATGTCTGCTCAGTCTCTATAGAGGACTTTTCCCATAACAACTGTATGTATGTGTTCAATGTGGCTTTGGTATTCAAAATATATGGCCCTGCTGCAAGGATCTAAAAATGTAACTGAATCAGGGAATTGAAGAAGTTAGCATTTTTGCCATGCCAAGTATAGACATATCTCACGTACCTACCATTTTTAACAGGTTTATTGCTGCTCTCACAAATTCAGAAAAGTGCAAAACTTTTCAAGCATTTTTTTTAACAATAATTTATTCTGGTGGAGTATTCGCACATCATTTTAAAAGACCTTGTACAATTACAGATGCTTCAGGATTTAATTCTCGCTGCCTTCACCGAGGGATCTGTGTTTTTTTCTTGTCTGGATTTCACTTCCTAACAGCAAAGGATCCATGTCACACATGACCTAGCTGGTAAAGACATTGCACAGCCCAAACATGGTAGAAAAGGGTGCAGGAGATTAATGTAATTTAGAACCATATGTGCAACAACAACATCTCAACCGAAAGAAAATATTGGACAGATTTTTCCTTCCTGAGCCATTATTGTAATAGCTCAGGAAAAAACTTCAGTATGCTTGAGTGTTTTTTTCTAATCATTTGTACATAACAGCGAACTACTTCTCTGTGCCAGACCATTTTGTATCGCCATGGAGATAAGGACTTGTACATTACATATTTCTGAGAGTGTGAGAGAGAGAGAAAACAGGACGATTGATTCCTTCCCTTCCTACAGACCCCCCTGTGAACAGTTTCTCAACACATTAGTATCGAGATTTTCAAATGAAGGATTTGAAGATTTTGAATCTCCAATAAAAAACTAAAGGAATCGATCAATGCCACAACCTTTTTTATTACCTTAGAACCAAATCTGAGGTATGTTGTTGCACCATCTGCATCTTTGTACAGTACTCTACAGTATCTCCTCCAATCTAATTGTGTTTATGTTTTGTCTAAGGTCTGTTTGAGCAGCACAACATCCTAATCTTTAGTTTGGCTTCAAATACTGAGCACAATCCTTTGAAGACTAATAAGAAAAAACTCTACGTAAAAGTCCACACACACTTTTGATATGCTAAAGACATGACAGGAAACACGATGTCAATGTATCTTGAAGCCTCAAACAACCATGAGAGCTGGTGTATTAAATAAAACAGACACACAATTATAGTGGGTGAAGAAATGTTAAACACTTTCAATTCACTTTACAAAAGAGATTTTGGAATTGTGCAACTGAAAGGGCATTCATTTAGATGAGCCTCTTTAGAGAGGATTTCTTCAATGCCACAAAAGAAAGCTTGTCAAACCCTTTTACTTCAGAGCAAATCAAAAAACATTACAAATCAATGAAGACTTGTTAAGTCCCCACTCTTTTTAAAGCTTGCTCGATTGGACTAAAATCTACTAATTACCACAAAGTGATTTGTACCCCCTTAAAATGAGACTGCAAAACTCAAGATAAATTCAGAAATATCTATTCAGACCTGAAGAAAAGTAAAATAAGGGTAGGATAGCAACACTGCAATGCACTCAAATTCAATGACCCCTTTGAAAACTAACTCCCAAATAAAAAGTGTATCCTGAATAACTACCTGCCTGCAGCTGCCTCTCTGTTTCTCTCCTGAGGATCGGTTAGTGCTCTCTAATGACAGTTTTGAACCGATGAGGAAAACAGAAAGAAAGAAAGCAATAGGATTATACTGTAAGTTTTGTAGGGAGACAGGGAATTGAAACAAATGAATGTGGAGCCGCATTCCTCTCTGCAGTCGCAAAGGACCAATTACACTGACAGATACTCAGTAACCTTTAGTAGTGTCTAAATGAGGTCGATTCCTGAGGTAAATATGTAGCATCTCTGCTCAACAGAGCAACGTGCTGCAGAGGTTCTTCTAACTCAGTCAACAGGGACTTTCCATCTTAAAGATAAAGGTGGCTTAAGTACGACATTAACGAAAACATTTAGTGTTGTGATTCTTAGATCTTGTAATTCATTGGAGACATAGTTCATAGGCAGTTCTCTTCATATGGATATTGTGCTAAAAAGACTAAATGTGGGTGACGCTTACATAGTTGTATTAATACAAGATGCTCTGAAGAAATACACATTTTGAAAAACAGCAGATATGACGTGAGCCCTTATTTGCAGGAGAAACAAAGTCCTCCATTGCATTGTTAAGACACACTTGATACCGATGTGAACATATCCTTTAATATATTTAAATGTGGCAGCTTTACAGTATTTTCTGTGAAGCCTTCTACAAGCAGTATTTCAATGGAAAAAGAACAACGTCATTTCCAGGCAGCATCTTACTACTCCAATTGTACCTCAGTTAATATCATTCGTTACCAATTAAATATTTATGAGTGTAAATTGTTTGTTCGCCTCTTTACTCTTAAACTGACCTGCTGTGCAATAATGGCTAAGAGACGCTAGAAGCTAGAAGCTAATTAAAAATTATTTAATTGAAGTGTACCAACTGAACAACCTCTCCATTTTTCTTTTCTGGGAGCCTTCATATAATTTTCCTTAATAAAATCATAAGAAACAACAGAATTGATCCAAAGAAATTGGGTAAAATAATTTCATTGATAAATTCAGGAACAATGTCTTCAGAATGTCTTCACTGTTACTATGGTCATCTAAAACTATTGAAACCTCTGCTAATGCTCGTTGTTGTGTTTCTGGCAGCTACAGGTTGTTGTGGAGCTCCACAGGTGTGCCAGTATGGGCGCTGTGTGGCCATTAATCTGTTCCATGCACAGTGAGTCATGCACACCTGAAGATTACAGAGCAGACGAGCTCGCTGACTAACTGACTGCAGGAGGCTGCTGCCAAACAATGAGAGGTGACACAGTCATAGAAATAATCAGAAAACAGAGTGCAAAAAAAAGATCAAATGCGTGAATGCGTGCACATGTTCTCCCGAAACCCTTTATGTTCAATGTTCTACATTATAATTAGTAGGTCTGTAATTTGGAACCGGACCGGTTCATCTTTGTGAGACAATTGCCAGTAAGAGAGTGTTCGGTGTTCATTAATCAGATAGTATTGTAGTCGAAGAATACAGATCATTTGTTCACAGGCCTGTGTTTAGTGAAGGTCACCACCTTGCAATCACACACGGGGAAAATTACAACCTTTTAGAAAAATTGTGTAAGAAAAAGGTAGTGTTTGTTAATCATGCTGTTTTTCATGTTACAGAATGGACAATGACGGTTTACACCTGTTTCTGCAACCAGACACTATTACCACACTGACTGCGGCAAGACAAGTCACTTCATGTTTATCTGTATATCCAGACAACATGAACAACACAAAAACTGTTTAATACCCAGCCCAAATTCTTTAAAGAGACATGGAGGAAGTACCAAAAGCCTTTGGACATGAAGAACCTAATAGAAAGAACCATCTTTTAGGAGGAAATTCCCCTGCTATGACGGCTGGGGGTGCAGTAGAAGTCGCATGTGGGAAAATGGCAATTATAAAAAAAAAACTGAAAGAGAGACACCGACTTCAACTTTGACAGCTTGTCCTCTCAAACACCTGCTGCCAATATGCTCCTGGGCATGGATGTGACGTATACTGTGTGTGTGTGTGTGTGTGTGTGTGTGTGTGTGTGTGTGTGTGTGTGTGTGTGTGTGTGGGTGTGTGGTGTGCACATGCCTTTGTTTACAGCAGTAGAGCCACTGCAAGTCACACAAAAAGCATTGGTATGCAAAAAACATGAATAATCTCCAGATAATGACTCAGACATTAAGTGTGTCTCTGTCTTACACACTAATAGAAACAAACAAGGAATGCTGCATTACATTATTTTTCTCACCCAAGTCTTACTTCCCATGAGCAGTGAAATAAGTGTCTTTATTTGGTATTAACTTTATACAGGAAAGTATGAGAGTATTCAGTTATCTTAAAACTTCATTGAATATTAATGTGCAGCAACAACTCATGACAGTTAGAAA